AGAGTGTATAAAATTATGCACTTAGAGACAGAGAACACAGCCTTATTCATCACAACTGAGAATTCTAGAACGAACAGCCCCCTAAGAGCTAGAAGGAGGTTCGGCTAAAGAAAACATGACACTGTGTCAGTATCCCAGTTTGCATTTTTGTTCAAGACAATTTTATATCGAGGTAGGCTTTTTAGACAGTCGCAGCCGATACAAGGAAGAAAGAGGAATTATCAGTAGCCCCATTTTATGGAGGAAGAAACTGAGTATCAGCTGAAAAAAAATCTCTGTGACTTTGCAACTACTAAGTAACAGAGGTGTAATTCAAACCTGGATCTCAAGTCAGATGTTTTTACTATGAAAACCCATGCTCCCACAACTCAATCCAAGTTAAGTCTAAAATTCTCCAGACAGGGCTGGGAGATGAGTCAATGCATACTGTGTCTGCAAGCTTGAGGACTGAGACCCGTTCCCCAGAACCCAAGTTAAAAGTCAGGTGCAGCAGTACTAGCTTGTAAGCCCAGTCCTGGAAAGGCAGGGACCGGAGGATCCCAGAGGACACTGGTCAGTCCCAGGTCCATTAAGAGATCCTGTCTCAAAAAAGAAGACGGAGAGAGTGATTAGGGAAGACTTGCAACATCTACCTCTAGCCTTCATATGCACACACACACATACACACAGAGACACACTCATATAGACACAGACACACACACACAGAGACACGCACATTCAGACACAGGCACCCACCCCCACCCCACCCCCCACGTGTACACACCACACACTCTCCTGATAAGAATGAATGGGGCAAAATGTTCCTCCCAGATTTGCCTTGCTAATCTGCTATGAAACACTGTTTCCTTACCCAGGAAATGGAACCAAAGGCCCTTGCCCTTTCTCACCTTCCAAAGGAAGAAACCATTCTTCCTGAAGGTTAAAAAGGAAGGCTTCTGTAAAGAACTTGGGAGCCCCAGGGGCCAGGTTGAATGCTGTGTCAAGTATTATTAGCAGCCCTACACTACAGGCATGGTTTAAAGATCTGTGGCACATGTCCTAGATAGAGACAAGATGGCCACTCTTGTAAAGACCTGTGTCTTAATCAAGCTAGGCGTACAGGCCATTCTCCTAAAGCTCCAGGAAGGCAAAAAGAAAACTTGTATTTATACTGTAGCAACAATTGTCTTTCAGTCCTGCTTACTTTTCCTTCTACCACTCTGAATATCTCCTACTTAATGTGAGGAACCCCTGCAACCAGCACTGATTTCTCAGGAGTGCTTCATAATTATCTTATTTTGAGTCTGGGAAAGTAGCCTTGACACAAAGAGATTTTTATACAGGCTAGAAGACTGTTCCCCGCCACCATTTTTAGCAATCTGTGGCTCCCCTATAGTAACCATACAACTAGAGAGCCTGAAATATGCCAAACACAATCTTGATACTGTAGCAAGCTGCCTTAAGTGGACTACAGGAAGCTCTCTTCTTGTAGAACATAACGCATCACCAAGTGAAACAGAGAGCATATGGTACTGGACCTTTATAAAAAGAGCCACAAACCAGTGAGGAACTCAGTGAGGGCAGGGGAAAGCCTTGCCTTCTGCAGCATAAGCATCCTCGAGTTGTGTGGAAATTGAGCATACTTTCTAAAAGAACCCCAAGAGCCCATTGTTTAAACGACTTGCCTTCTGTACATGTCTTCCATACTATGTGGGGCGGGGGTATGGGACTTAGAACACAGCAAACACTCAATCAAGTTAAAAATGACTTTGAGACCACTAGCAGAGACTGCAGCAGTGGCAATGACAAGGCATGGAGTAGTAGCAGTCTCCTCCCCAGAAATGAGGTCCCTGTTTTGATCTGGGAAAAGGAGAGGGGCTAAAATGAGAACTAGTGGCAGGAAGACACAGGGGGGCCTTAATGCAGGTACCTAAACTTCTTTCTCATCCAAAGAAAGTTTATCTGCATTCAGAATGAGCTGGACAATTAGAAAGCAAAGGGTAATTTTTCATGGAATTCATCCTGATTTTCTTCCTTTCAAAACATGTGCGGATTTTATGCATAAATAGACTCTTAATAAATTTTACCAATAGACAAGCCATCTCGATGAAGGAACAGGTATTTCATGCAAATGGAGGCTACTGTAAAATTGCTTGGTTAGTTTCTGATTAAAAGAAAGAAATTATTATAGTGGCTTAAAATAAATCCTTTTCATTGCAAGCTTAATCAAGCATACAGTGCTGCCCTAGGTTGCAAACTATTTTACGGCATCAGGAAACTTTGCCAATGGAGCTGCAGCCTAATTCTCTCTATCTTCTTGAAGCCAATAATGAAGAGTCTTCCCAGAAGCCTTCAGACTAGAAAAATGCCAGATGGTGCTCTGTCTCTAACACATTCACCCTGGGAATACTCAAAACAATCACCTCCTTATTTTGATGATCAATTTGACTTAGTTAAA